AAAAAAAAAAAAAAAAAAAACAAGTCACATAAGCAATTAAGCAATGGCCACAAGACCACATATACAGGGGAATTTAATGCAAAGGCTGTTAAGAGTGGGGTGTGCTAAGTAGACGCGTGTTACCTACACATCATAGTATACATGCATTCACATGATGCTGAGACACTTGGCCCTCCCTGGCAGGTGACAAATGACACCAACTGAAGTGTCATGGGCAAGGCCAGGTTCCTGGGCCACTTCCTGGGATCCCCTCTGCCCAGGATGATGCATCCCACGGGCAGTACTCCTAAGGTAGAGAAGAGTACAGGAAACCCCACACCATGTGGCAGCTCCAAGCAGCAAGACAGATGGGCCCAGGTTCCCCACCCTGCAAGGCTGCCTGTTTCTTGGCCCTGCCACTCGGAGACAGGCCACACCAGTGCTGTAGTGAGCAGGACCCGGGCAGTGGCCACAGGGTGAGGACAGGACCTCCAGGCACTGAGAGCTACTCAGGTGCTAAGTCTAGGGCCATAGGAGCCTGTGAAGCAGGGTCCTCCTCCACAGTGATGGCTATGAAACCAGAAATGCTGCCCTGTATGAATGCCACAGAGCTGGCAGGTCTGGCACCGCCTTCGGCCACTGTAGAGAAACCGGAAGCACCACCCCAAGTGCCCACACCATCCTGTGCCTGCAGCACCAACAGTGGCCCAGGGCAGGCATCCCCACCTGTGACCTCAGAGCAGCACTCAGGGCCCCGCCCACCCGCCCATTCTGCAAGCAATGACTCATAGGGAGGGAGGGCTGCAGCGGCACCTGCAATGGTGCAGACGAGAGGATCACACGACAGCCCTGTGACAGTGGCACAGGGCCAGCCCAGAGCCCTGGGCCTGGAGCCCTTAAGGGCCACACTGCAGGCCTCCTGGAGCCTTGAAGACTCCTTGCTACCAGCTACACAGCCAGAAGCGCGAGTGCAGAAGGTCAGTTAACCAGGTAGAGTGTAAAATAAAATACCCGAAATGGTATTTTATTAAGTTTTAAGTTTTGAAAACATTTCAAAACTCTCAAAGAGTATCTATAAGCAGGGCATAGTTGGAGCTGAGGAGATGGCTCAGTAGAATAATTGCTTCCCTGGCAAGCACAAGGGCCTGAGTTCAATCCCCAGTTCTGCCAAACAAAAACAAAAACAAAAAACCAGGCATAGTGGTACACGCCTATTAATCCCAGTACTTGGGAGGCTGAGGCAGGGGAATCTATTTGAGTTCAAGGCCAGCCTCAATCTGGCTGATTCATGGTGAGAATCTGTCTCAAGAAAACAGAAAAAAAAAAAAAAAAATCCAAGAACTAAGGGTAGGAGGAGAAACACTTGTACAGGCCAGAAGCTCCATGCAGCGTTTTCCAAAAGAACTGACCAGTTAACTCTGCTAAAGAAATCACGACTCACGCTACTGGGAGGCTCAGGCAGAGGGTGGCACATTCCAGGCCAGCCATTTTAGCGGAAGACTCTTATCTCAAAATAAAAGATAAGGTTCCTGCACCACATGCCATGCCGGCCCTGCTGCCAGGTGCACGGAGCCGCCCACTGAGAGCAGACGTGGTGGTGCACGCTTGCAATCCCAGGGCTGGGGAGGCTGAAAACAGGACCACTATGAGTCTGAGCTGCACGGTGAGACCCTGCACCAAACACATAAAAAAATAAAAAATAAGGGCTAGGATGTAGCTCAGTAGCAGTGTCTTGCCGAGCACACGCGAGGCCTCGAGTTCCAGCCGCAGTACAGCAGCAAACAAACGCTTTTGTCTTTCTAAGTCACTCTGAGAGCTCTGCCTGCTCTTATGGTGGCTAGAGGGAGCCAACGCCTTCCAACAGCTGACAGGGCTGCTGTCACAGCAGCGCAACAGGGCAACACTGTGTTTAGGCTCCCAACCCGACAGGGTCCCTGCAGGGGAGGGCAGTGGTGGCGAGAGGGCCTGCAGCCAGGGCACCATGCAAAAGGGACTGGAGCTACGGACAGAGGGTGGGCCAGCTTCTCTCCACACCCCACGCTAAGACAGGGGACGCCAGAGCAGCACAAGCTGTCACCACCCCACAGGGCCCTTGCTGCCTCCACACTGCTGCTGACCTGGGAGGGAGCAGGGCAGAGCAGGCTGGGTGACCACATGCCAGTCTGTGCCCTGAGTGCACGGCCCAAGAGCAAGGCTGCCAATGCCACTCCCCGTGTGCACCTGCTGGGGGTCCATGCTGAGCATCCAAGGTGACACCCCACAGACAGAAGGCCGCCTGCGAGGATCCACTCATACCCCAAGGCTAGGCCTCACTCAGACCGAGCCACGCACAAAGCCCCACTCATCTCCACATCTGGGAGTCCTGCAGCTGTGCCAGGGTCACAGCGCTGCTGGTGAGGCCTTGCCCCTCCCGGGTGCCCTGCCACCTTCCTGGCAGCCCAGGGTCACGCATGGCTCCCACACGCCCGGTGCCTCATCCTGCCTCACATGCTTCTTCCAAAGTGGGCAGCTCGTAACAACTCAGGCTGAAATCCCTAGACCTCTGAAGATTTCTACAAAGATCCCAGCCTTATAGGAACTGCTAGCAGCAGTAGGCCTTCCCTGAGCACCCTGCCACAATGTATTTTAAAAGGCAAAAGGTGAGTTGAATGTGGTACTGCAGGCTGGTCATCCTAGGGCCCTAGGAGACTGAAGCAAAAGCATGCCAAGCTTGAACCCAACCCGGCTAACTCAGCAAGACCCTGTCTCATGATGAAGAGAGGGAGGTGAGATGTAGCTCAGCGAAGGCCTGGGCTCAGTCCCTAGTACCACAAAACAAGACAATTATAAGGTGATAGGCACCCATCTAATCTTCCCCACCTACCATCCTAGCTATGCCACAATGCCTATCAAATGCTAAGAAACTAGATTATCAACGACACAGTTCAACACCTCACGCTAACCCATACTTGGCTGACAGGGATCCACATACTGCATGCTGGGAGGGAGACCCGGCCGGAGACCCATGGTGCAAAGACCTCATTTGTAGGGTGAGAATCAAATCAAGAAGAAAAGTCCTCAAAGTACTGTGGCAGTTGCCCAGGCTGCCAACCAGACCTGACTGTCAGCTTTCCTGGCTCAGGATGGAGAGATAGGAAGCACAGGGGCCTCAGACAGCACGGCTAGACCGGGAGCTGAGCCCAGAGCACACTGCGTGTGCCCAGCGCCCTCTGCCCTATGTGCCCACGCACTCACAGTTGGTAGCCGAAGCAGAGGGAGATCTTCCCACCCCTAGGGGACACATGGTATATGATGTGTTCAGTCTGTTAGTAGGAGTGCAGCGTCCCAAAGCCACATGCACACCTGTGCAGCGCAGCTCCCCAGTCACTGACTTGGACCCGACCGCCCCTGCTGCCACTCCAGGGAAAGCAATGCCCGCCTTTTGCTCAGAGCTTGCCACTCCTCCTCCATACTAGCCCACCCACCTGCAGCTCTGCCACAGCCCAGCGAGAGCAGCCACAGGTAGCCTGACACTGCCCAACACAGCACGCTGGCCTCCAGGATGGCCACGCCTCTCATCCTCACTGCTGGCTCCTTCCCAGGACCCACGCCAGGGACAGAGCCCACCCAGCCCCAGCCCAGGCAGCTCACTGGCTCTCACCATGGCAACAGGGGCCTCAAGAGACCCATAGCCCAGACTGTCAGCCTGTCACCTCAAGTATAGGAGCAAGTTCCAGAGCCCCGGCTTCCCCGCCTCCTCCCAGGCACCACACAGAGCTAAGTCCTTCACAGTGCTTTCTCCAAGTGTGCCACTGTATGATCTGCATCTGTAATATATTACCACATAATTCATGTGTGTGTAATAAGTGCCACACAGCCCACGGCCCAAGCAGGGCTG